ATTATTTAATTCAAATTTATTTCATAAAAAACTTAATATGCAGGATAGAACACCTATTGAAAAGTCATTGTGAGCACCGTTGAATTAAACCAAATGGAAGTTTGATTGCTACCATTCCATGTGCGTCATTTATTGATATCTTGTGATGAAAACATTTTCCTAACTTTCTTTATTAAGAAATAAAAACAAATTTTCAGGTGAAAATAAGGCACAGCAAGGGATTAAAATTGAAGCAGATTGGAAATTCATTTATATATATACTACTTTCTGCATAGGAAGTTAAGGTACTTTGATATTGCTTTTCTAGTCCCTATATTTTTAGAAATATATAAAAAATAGGAATTGACTCTCAAAGGTTTTTGATTTTGTGTTTTTATACTATTTAATTTATTGGCAATAGAAAAGACATACCAGTACTGGAAAAGTACTATATTATATCTACATTTAACACTCTGTACATTGGTGGTTAATGATTTACCTATTTTTGAATTAAAGCTTCTTAGTACATGTATACTGGTAATTACTTTGAAAGAAAATACAAAAGATACGTATTAAAGATAATATGCTTCAGCAAAAAATTAAAATGTACTATTTAGAACAGGATAAAGGCCATTAAAACTTGTATTCAAATCCAGTTTCTTTCTAAACAAATAACAAGTACACCTCATCAGCGGTAAAAACCACTTCAAATTAAAGACGTTGCGACCAATGACACTCGTGACAACAATATATACTGATGAGTTTTAAGAAGTGTGAACTGCTTAACATATTTATTTAGTTTCTCACGATTTCAGTATAAGACGCTCATGCCAACATGTTAATGTCGGTGAATTAAATCACCTGATTATTGGAATTTTCATTAAATAGGGTGGAAAATTATAAAAAATTAAAGAAAGGTCTTTATTATTGCATATTTGCACAAGTTGTGACAAAAACTGTACCTTCATGAATCAAAATTACCCTTTCTTAACAACTCTTATATATTAAATAAATCTGTTCAAATATATCATCAAAAGGCTTGCAAATATAGATCACGGATAGGAATTTTCACCATTGTTTAGAAGAACCATTTAAACTAGAGCTCTATTGTCCTGCCTTCTATGCCATCAAACTCTCCATGTAATTCATGGTATGAACATTAAGTAAAATTATTAAATGCATTTCAATGCTCTTTTGTCCGTCAAAGAAAAACAAATTACAAATGGTTGCTATTATATTGTATTAATTGTAAAGATTTGAATAAATATAATGATTCAACTATTGGCAGAAAATGTAAATAAGTCTTTGTTGCACCTTCACAAAAACATTAGTTAATAATCCAAACTTAGAGGTGAAAAAGACTTTTGTCATTTCTCTCTCAGTTAATATTATCACATTATATCTAACCTTTATGGTAAGCATTAATTGAGAAATTTGGTTTTATTCTTAAACCAAATTTGTATTCATGTCAGGTTTACAGATTGTCAAAATATTTAATGTTTAGTTAACAGTATATTGAAACAAAAAAATATAAAAGAATTGTATGCTATTCTGGTTTATACTTAGGTCCAAACAGAAAATACAAAGACCTAATAAAATATTAAAGTAAAAAAAACATGCAAAACTATTACATTTATCTAATAATTTTTTTCCCCTTCATTTTCAGTATTATGTGGATTATTGCCATTTTCCATTAATCTCATGTGTGACAGTTTAGATGGACACCCTTGTGTTTAGGTAATGGTGTCCAGGTTTAGCTATCAACATCTTGTGGAGTAACTAACAAACGCTTCAAACAGTGAAAACTTATCAAGTACTGTATTGGAGGAAGGTTGCTGTGCATTGTACAACTACAACTTCCAAAAATCATAAAAACAAATATATTGAATAAAATAGGATACTTAGTGATGTCTGGGCCTTATGGTGGACTGTTTTACCTTACAGGCAGTGGTCCCTCATTTATAACATCCATACCAGTAATCCTGATAATGGTCTTTTATGTAGCATATATGTTTAACATCTTGAGAGTCTATATTTAAAATACAGCTAGGTACATCACTCATTCTTTAACACAGTAACCACACCTCTTTAATTATGTATCAATAAATGTAGTTGTACCTTATGTTAGAGTAAAGCCTGTCTTTTTGTATTAGACCTGTCATATTATTTGGTGTATGAAAATCTTTGGATGACTACAATTTGTAGATTTGAGGTGCTGGATTGCTATTTCAACTAATCTTTTTACTAATTTGTACTTGTTTACTGCATGCAATCATGTCATCTCTGATCTTATACATGTACCAGTTATTCTGTATGCTACCAAATGTTCCAAATGTATCACTACTGACAAAACCTACTGTTTTACTAAAGTTCTGAGAGAAACTTCTCCACAAAGATAACACTACTGGCTGTACCTACCTGTTTTTATCAAGTTCTGAGAGAAACTTCTCCACAAAGATAACACTACTGACTGTACCTACCTGTTTTTATCAAGTTCTGAGAGAAACTTCTCCACAAAGATAACATTACTGACTGTACCTACCTGTTTTTATCAAGTTCTGAGAGAAACTTCTCCACAAAGATAACACTACTGGCTGTACCTACCTGTTTTTATCAAGTTCTGAGAGAAACTTCTCCACAAAGATAACATTACTGACTGTACCTACCTGTTTTTATCAAGTTCTGAGAGAAACTTCTCCACAAAGATAACATTACTAGCTGTACCTACCTGTTTTTATCAAGTTCTGAGAGAAACTTCTCCACAAAGATAACATTACTGGCTGTACCTACCTGTTTATATCAAGTTCTGAGAGAAACTTCTCCACAAAGATAACATTACTGGCTGTACCTACCTGTTTATATCAAGTTCTGAGAGAAACTTCTCCACAAAGATAACATTACTAGCTGTACCTACCTGTTTTTATCAAGTTCTGAGAGAAACTTCTCCACAAAGATAACATTACTGGCTGTACCTACCTGTTTTTATCAAGTTCTGAGAGAAACTTCTCCACAAAGATAACATTACTGGCTGTACCTACCTGTTTTTATCAAGTTCTGAGAGAAACTTCTCCACAAAGATAACATTACTGGCTGTACCTACCTGTTTTTATCAAGTTCTGAGAGAAACTTCTCCACAAAGATAACATTACTGGCTGTACCTACCTGTTTTTATCAAGTTCTGAGAGAAACTTCTCCACAAAGATAACATTACTGGCTGTACCTACCTGTTTTTATCAAGTTCTGAGAGAAACTTCTCCACAAAGATAACATTACTGGCTGTACCTACCTGTTTTATCAAGTTCTGAGAGAAACTTCTCCACAAAGATAACATTACTGGCTGTACCTACCTGTTTTTATCAAGTTCTGAGAGAAACTTCTCCACAAAGATAACATTGCTGGCTGTACCTACCTGTTTTTATCAAGTTCTGACAGAAACTTCTCCACAAAGATAACATTGCTGGCTGTACCTACCTGTTTTTATCAAGTTCTGAGAGAAACTTCTCCACAAAGATAACATTGCTGGCTGTACCTACCTGTTTTTATCAAGTTCTGAGAGAAACTTCTCCACAAAGATAACACTGCTGGCTGTACCTACCTGTTTTTATCAAGTTCTGAGAGAAACTTCTCCACAAAGATAACATTACTGGCTGTACCTACCTGTTTTTATCAAGTTCTGAGAGAAACTTCTCCACAAAGATAACATTACTGGCTGTACCTACCTGTTTTTATCAAGTTCTGAGAGAAACTTCTCCACCAAGATAACATTACTGGCTGTACCTACCTGTTTTTATCAAGTTCTGAGAGAAACTTCTCCACCAAGATAACATTACTGGCTGTACCTACCTGTTTTTATCAAGTTCTGAGAGAAACTTCTCCACAAAGATAACACTACTGGCTGTACCTACCTGTTTTTATCAAGTTCTGAGAGAAACTTCTCCACCAAGATAACATTACTGGCTGTACCTACCTGTTTTTATCAAGTTCTGAGAGAAACTTCTCCACCAAGATAACACTACTGGCTGTACCTACCTGTTTTACTAAAGTTCTGAGAGAAACTTCTCCACAAAGATAACACTACTGGCTGTACCTACCTGTTTTTATCAAGTTCTGAGAGAAACTTCTCCACAAAGATAACATTACTGGCTGTACCTACCTGTTTTTATCAAGTTCTGAGAGAAACTTCTCCACAAAGATAACATTACTGGCTGTACCTACCTGTTTTTATCAAGTTCTGAGAGAAACTTCTCCACAAAGATAACACTACTGGCTGTACCTACCTGTTTTTATCAAGTTCTGAGAGAAACTTCTCCACAAAGATAACATTACTGGCTGTACCTACCTGTTTTTATCAAGTTCTGAGAGAAACTTCTCCACAAAGATAACATTACTGGCTGTACCTACCTGTTTTATCAAGTTCTGAGAGAAACTTCTCCACAAAGATAACATTACTGGCTGTACCTACCTGTTTTTATCAAGTTCTGAGAGAAACTTCTCCACAAAGATAACATTGCTGGCTGTACCTACCTGTTTTTATCAAGTTCTGACAGAAACTTCTCCACAAAGATAACATTGCTGGCTGTACCTACCTGTTTTTATCAAGTTCTGAGAGAAACTTCTCCACAAAGATAACATTGCTGGCTGTACCTACCTGTTTTTATCAAGTTCTGAGAGAAACTTCTCCACAAAGATAACACTGCTGGCTGTACCTACCTGTTTTTATCAAGTTCTGAGAGAAACTTCTCCACAAAGATAACATTACTGGCTGTACCTACCTGTTTTTATCAAGTTCTGAGAGAAACTTCTCCACAAAGATAACATTACTGGCTGTACCTACCTGTTTTTATCAAGTTCTGAGAGAAACTTCTCCACCAAGATAACATTACTGGCTGTACCTACCTGTTTTTATCAAGTTCTGAGAGAAACTTCTCCACCAAGATAACATTACAGGCTGTACCTACCTGTTTTTATTAAGTTCTGAGAGAAACTTCTCCACCAAGATAACATTACTGGCTGTTACCTACCTGTTTTACACAAACATTGATATGTAGTTGTCCCTGATGTTACACATGTTCCTCCATTCAGACAAGGACTTGGAGAACAAGGTACAAATAGTTGTTCACAATGTTGTCCAGTATACTTTAAATCACAGTGACACCTAAAATCAAGACAAGAATCAAATCTTATCTTTTTTCAACAATATTTTTTAAAATTTGACATATATATACTATAGTTTGTTCTATATATTGATATCGTAAAATATCAGCCACTAGACACAATGTGAAGCTTTTTAGCTTGTTAGCTGTGCTTAGTCACCCAAAAGGTTCACATTGTGGCTAGTGGTTGATAATTTACGATATCAACCCGATAATATGTTTATCGTTCTACCTTAGACAGTTTTATGCTTGACGAAAGAAAGTTGATAACATCTTTTCATACATTGTGATATCGCTGATAATGTCTGCTCACGTCTCAATGCCGTGATATGAGAAATACAGAACGAATGAGAAGGGTGATATTGGCTAAGGGAAAGAGAATCAGATGGATCATATTGTATCTTAATAATGTGTACAATGTCCATAGGTGGAGACAGGTTGCTATTTACTGATGTTACATCATGCATGAGATTAGTATCTTTAGTTTTTAGATGAAACAACTAGTTGAAACAAAGTGACTGTATAAAGTACTTACAGTGAGGAAACTTATATATAAGTGTTTAGATGTTGATTCATAACCTGTGAGGCTAAGCCAGAAAAATTTTCAGTTGCTAACTCACTCCATCTTTTAAATCTGGCAGGCAGAAAGAAAATTACTTTAATGCCTCTGCAACAATCAGACTGAGGTTTTTTTGCTTTAATTTATTTGTATCTTAATAAGAGAAAGAAATAGAACACCAATACAATGTACATATTTACATTTTGACATGTCAACATTATTTGTTGATTTATTAGAAATGGTCCATTAACAATATCTTACTTTAGGCATATATATAACACAGACCTTGAAAAACTAATGAAATACTCATACTCAATGATTGTTGATGAAACTTTTTTCTCATCAGCTTAATGCTTGTTTTCTAAAAATGTATTCTATATAAATTCCCTATTATCCAATAGACAATTTGACACTAGAAAGGAAATATGATACAGGAAATACCAGTTAAACAGAGGAAATCAAAAGTTTAGTACTAATTGCCTTATATTCTAAAAATGTCAAGTGTTACCAAATATATCAGTATTGAAGAGGGCACTGCATATGAGTACCATAAATGGACAAAGGTTTGTATGGTGGACGTGATAAATTGATCACCCAGTGTTCAAAATTTAGGCCAGTTTACAGGATCCAAGTCAGCAGTTTTCTTGAGGAGCCTCTTAAATTGGTTGGAAATTATAATGGAATATGACCAGATTTTTGAAAAATAAGTATTTCTGTTTGGTAGATTTGTAGAATACAAGAAACTGATGAAGTGTACGACTCTTTATTGGATTTCTTCAAATATTTGTTTCCTAGGATTTATGTGATATTGTCATTTGTATCTTGAGACTTGAATTATCCTTTTAATGCGAGATGATTAAGAATGTTTTACACAGGTGCACGTCATCTTCTTCTTTGACTAAATTAGTTCAGGTTTGATCCTAACCATCATCAATTTTATAAAATTTCCATATTCATAGGGCCAAAAGAATGCTACCCATATATTCATAATTTATTGAAAGTTTTATTTCAGTTATTTTAAGTCTTAACAAAGTTTCTCATTCAACCATGCATTTCCTAACACTGATATCTTTTGTTAAGACTTTGATTTCCTGGTAAAAGTCGTCCTCCATACCAATCAGTGAGACACAAAATTATTGTCCATTAATGACCAACAAAGCAGTAAATGAAATATTACAAGACACAAAGTCAGATCAAGGCTGATTGTTTTACCTGACAAAGGTATTAAAGTTACTGATCTGTAGGAATATTACATTAATCATCCATTAGCTTAATGGGGAACATTAGGGGATAATTCTGGGTACAACTTACATTCTGAACAATGTTGTGTGTGTTGTGGGGTGGGAGGGAGGGTTTGGGACCCAACTCTTCATTTTCAGAATCAATATTAAGCAAACTGCTGACATTTCTTAAAGAATTTTATACAATATACTTTATACATTTGTTTATCAGGTGTTTAAAAAAATCTCAATGAAGTAATAAAAAAAGTTAAAAAGTACAGCTTTCATTGCTGAATTTACAAAATCTTATAATTTGATATTATTTCACACATTTCATGTTGTTTAAACACTGTAATCAATCAATCAACCATAGTTACAATATGTTGGACATTACTGAGTAATGTTTACAGTATAGACTATAACTATTTGCGCCAGCAAAGGGTTTTAATCAAAATTTGTCATCTATCTAAATTTCAGGCCAAATAAAATGCTCCGCAGGGCGCAGCTTGATACGACCGCAGAGGTCGAACCCTGAACAGTTGGGGCAAGTATGGACACAACATTCAAGCTTGATACAGCTTTGCATTTGGATTGTGATTAAATATTTGACACAGCATAGGTTTCTGACACAGAATGAATGTGGTCTAAGAACTTAAAAATTTTAAATTGGACATTCACCTATCATGGTCCAATATCCAAAATCTTAATACATGGTTAGATTCAGCATATCAAAGGACCCCAAGAATTAAATTTTTGATGAAATCAAACAAAGTTTAATTTTGGACCCTTTTGACCTCAATGTGGACAAAGTTGATAACGGGGCCCAAAAATCAAAAATCTAAATACATGGTTAGATTCAGCATATCAAAGAACCCCATATATTCAACTTTTGTTGAAATCAAACAAAGTTTAATTTTGGACCCCGATTTGGACCAACTTGAAAACTGGGCCCATGATCAAAAATCTAAATACATGTTTAGATTCAGCATATCAAAGAACCCTAAGAATTCAATTTTTGTTAAAATCAAACTAAGTTTAATTTTGGACCCTTTGGACCTTAATGTAGACCAATTTGAAAACGGAACCAAAAATTAAGAATCTAAATACACATTTAGATTCGGCATATCAAAGAACCCCAATAATTCAATTTTTGATGAAATCAAACAAAGTTTAATTTTGGACCCTTTGGACCTCAATGTGGACCAATTTAAAAACGGGCCCAAAATCCAAAAACTAAATACACGGTAAGTTTCAGCATATCAAAGAACCCCATATATTCAATTTTTGTTGAAATCAAACAAAGTTTAATTTTGGACCCCGATTTGGACCAACTTGAAAACTGGGCCCATAATCAAAAATCTAAATACATGTTTAGATTCAGCATATCAAAGAACCCTAAGGATTCAATTGTTGTTAAAATCAAACTAAGTTTAATTTTGGACCCTTTGGACCTTAATGTAGACCAATTTGAAAACGGAACCAAAAATTAAGAATCTAAATACACGGTTAGATTCGGCATATCAAAGAACCCCAATAATTCAATTTTTGATGAAATCAAACAAAGTTTAATTTTGGACCCTTTGGACCTCAATGTGGACCAATTTAAAAACGGGGCCCAAAATCCAAAAACTAAATACACGGTTAGATTCAGCATATTAAAGAACCCCAAGAATTCAAGAATAAAACCCCATTGAAATTGGTCAAGAAATAAGCAATTTATACGAAGTATCTTCTTTTGCACAATACTGTGCAATTAAATATTTCTTACTATTGCGCAATACTGTACAATTGACAATTTCTTGCTATTGCGCAATATTGTGCTATTGGATATTTCTTGCTATTGCGCAATACTGTGCAAATGAAGATTTCTTGCTATTGCGCAATACTGTGCAATTGAAGATTTCTTGCTATTGTGCAATACTGTGCAATTGAAAATTTCTTGCTATGGCACAATACTTATTATATAATTTACACATCCTGTTTGGTGTGTATCTCCTACCATATCATTATTATTTGCTTTTAAATATAAATCAGAAATAACCTACTTAAAATGGAAAATTTTAAAAGAAAAAAAAAAGGAAAAAAAGAAAAAAAAGGAAAAAAAAAAAATCCCCCCCCAATTTTTTGAACCCCCTTATGATTCATCACCCCCAAACTCAATCTCAGCCTTCCCTTTGTGGTATGGTTCCTTGCAGTACAATTTCAGAGAGATCCATACACTTGAACACAAGTTATTGTCTGGAAACTATAAAAATGCTTATTTTTGGCCCCTTTTTGGCCCCTAATTCCTAAACGTTTCGGCAGTTACCCCCAAACTCAATTCCAGCTTTCCCTTTGTGGTATGGAACCTTGTAGTACAATTTCAGAAAGATCCATACACTTACACACAAGTTATTGTCATGAAACTAGAAAAATGCTTGTTTTTTGCCCCTTTTTTGGCCCCTAATTCCTAAAATTTTGAGGCAATTACCCCCAAAATCAATCCCAGCATTCCTTTTGTGATATGGAACCTTGTGGTACAATGTCAGAGAGATCCATACACTAACACACAAGTTATGTCTGGAAGTTACAAAAATGCTTATTTTTGGCCCCTTTTTGGCCCCTAATTCCTTTACTGTTGGTACCATAACCCCCAAAATCAATCCCAACCTTCCTTTTGTGGTATTGAACCTTGTGGTAAAATTTCATAGAGATCCATTCACTTAAACTAAAGTTAGAGTGCGAAAACCAATGTGTCTTCGGACGACGCCAGATGACGACGACGCCAACGTCATACCAATATACGACCACAAAAATTTTTTTGCGGTCGTATAAAAACCACCTAAATTTTTGGTTTCTGTTTTTCTAGGTTTATTCATACTTATTCTTGTGTTAAATCAAATAAATATCCATTAGATCAGTATATTAATGTTAAATAATTTCTTAGCTGCACTCATTACTAACTTTTTTATGTGTACATGGTGGAGTGTCAGTATCTTCTTCAGCAATGTGCATTTGAAAGATAATGATATAAAAAGTTTAAACAGCAGTGCAAATCTGTTAATGCCTGTCGTTAAAATATTCAACCAAAAAAAATACTGAAAGAAAACATTTGGCATATCTGTGATAAAGTACATGTTAAATCAACAAAAGATATAGCCAGGAAAAACAGGACATTTGACAGGTAACCCCTAAGGTCAAAACAATGTTATTTAATTATCTAACAATTCATTTTGTCCGAAAACACCAATGTCCCATTAATAATTCATAATATAATAATAGACAAAATAAAAAATAAATTACCTGGTTTGTCAGTTAATACATGTACATGATATATCTAATTACCAAACAATGTGATAATAGATTCTTATCTTGCACGATTATTTCTAAAACTAATATTACAAATTTTACATTTTTCTGATTTCATTGGAATATATATTTGAAAAAATAAAATTTTTAGGAGGACAAAATAGTTCAAGTTTGAAAATGAAATCATTTTTCTGAAACACAGAAAAAAACTATAGTTATATGTGGCAGTCCCAACATCAAAAGACATTGTTTAAATTTTCAAGGCTATTTAATCTTACAACAGATAGAAAGCTCATTAAACACAAATAATAAACTGCTATGAGCTCATGTCACAACCATATTAACAGCCATCATTATAAGAATATAGTGAAGTATTTGAAAACATTAAATTTTCAACAGCAGTGGTGGATGCAGGGGGGAGCAGGACTTCCAAAACAGTCTTATTGTCCGGACTTGTCCGATAAATTATAATTATGACTTGTTGTGTCGAACCTGAAACAGACATTGAACGTGGGTTAACCATTTTCACATAATTCAGAAAAAAAAATGAAGTTATTGCAATCTTTTTGACCTGTCCTTTTGCCTTAAACAGCCAGACATTTCCAGTCATAAAAGGGACATGGTGAATAAGTACCATCAAAACAAACCCTACTTTAATACCTTCGCATTACAATCAAGGTTAATTAGTTGTCTGACAGTTGAAATTTACTTGTTCAGGTACAGGTAAACTATAATATGTGCTGGACATTGATTGGTCTATTTAAAGTTATTTTCATAAATTTTAGCAATTTTAATCTCATTAATTTAGTCAAAAAAATTTTGATTATCAAAAATATGCATATATACGGATTTTATGTATCTGTCTCTTGTCTGTGTTTTACCATTGTCAAGTCAACATCCGGTATAAGAAAATGTGCCTTCTTAAAACGAAAGTTAAGTTTTTTCAAACGTAATTTTGCACAAATAAAGATTCAAAGGCAGATATTTGTACGCTAGTGTTGCACACTTCAAATGATGCACTGTCAATTTAACAGTTTACATCAGTACATCGAATTTGTATCAAAAGTCAAGTTTAATATCGTTTTTATGTCAATCATGTTTTATATGATGCCCAACTGATTACCTTGATTGCTTTTTGGGATTAAAATCAGGATCAGACAAAAAATGTCCGGTTGGCACAAAAAATTTTTGGAAGCCCTGGAGGGGGGGGGGATACGTAGAGTGATAAGCACCCTATTGATTGGAAAATATATCATTTCTTAGGAGCAGTTAACATTGTGAATGTCTTGCTGCCCATCAAGGGCCCTTAATTTGAACAATAAATATTCTTATTCATTGTGTAACATCATTACTTTTCCTAAATTTAAAATTTAATATAACTACACAAGACAAGATTAATTCAAAATGTATACCAATACTAATAATATGGTAAGTTTAAAGTAAATTGTTCAAGATTTATTGTGCAACATGTTAAAAATTCCATTTATTTGACACTTAAAAGTCAACAAAAATCTGAATCAACAAAAGAGAAATCTACAGACCACCAGACAATCTAGTAAAGTTGATTTATAGAGGAACATGTGTTCTACTATTTTTGATGATTAAAGTCCAATAACATTGAAACAACAGAAAATGAAAATCTACAAAATGCCTATAGACTCTCACACCTCTCTAAAATTTTAAATAAGTAAATCATTCAAGGCTTCAAGCTCATGATGTGAAAATTTGCTATTTTTTTTATGAATAAAGTCCTATAACTCTGGACAAAAATAAATAAAAATATTCCAAAAGTTATAATACAGATCAATATTTTTAATAATTTAGAAATAGTGGAAATAAAGCATTCTTGGATGACATGTGAAAAAAACTGTTTTTGGAAGATAACATTCCCAAGAAATTTTTTCAAGGTTAAAAATCATAACTCTGAAACAACAAAGTGGGAATCATCAAAAGTATACAGGTCCTCAAACCACCATCTTAAACAATTTCATTGACAGGCCTATACAATGTTACATTTATTTCTTTTACCATTTTCAAATGAACTTTTCTGAAACTGAGTAGAAAAAAGTCTTGCAATACAAATATAAACTGCTTTGCTGAGTGCAGCTGGATACGCCCGCAGAGGTCCAACCCTGAACAGTTGGGGCAAAAATGGACACAATATTCAAGCTTGATACAGGTCTGAATTTGGATAGTATTAAATATTTGACATATTATAAGTTTCTGAATAAATGTAGTCAAAGAACTTGAAATTGGTTATATGAATTGAATTTATATTCAATTAAAGATTTCTTGCTGTTGTGCAATACACTGTGCTGTTGCGCAGTACTTAGTAAATCTGTTGTCAGACTATAATCAATTAAAGTTCAATTAATTCTCAATGTCATATTAGAAATTTATGAAAATGTAAAGGGAGCTTACATCAATAGATATAAACAATTCACCAAAGTTTCATGAGAATTGCTGACAGCATTTTTGAGTTATTGTCCAAAACTGGAAAATCCCCCCTTTTTTAATGAATAAAACCCCATAACTCAGAAAGGTAAAATGTAAAATTTATAAGATTCTAAACGGAGCTTACATCAATAGATATAAACAATTCACCAAAGTTTCATAAGAACTGCTGAAAGCATTATTGATTTTTTGTCGGAAAACTGGAAAATCCCTCTTTTTTTATGAATAAAACCCTGTAACTCTGAAAAGTAAAATCTAAAATACATAAAAATCAAAAGAGAGCTCATGTCAATAGATATAAACAATTCACCACAATTTCTTGCAAGTTGGTGAAAGCATTCTTGAGTTATTGTCCGAAAAAACTGGAAAATCCCCCTTTTTTTAATGAATAAAACCCCATTACTCAGAAACGTAAAATCTAAAATTTATAAAAAACAAAAGGAAGCTCACGTCAATAGATATTAACAATTCACCAAAGTTTTATGCAAATTGGTTAAAGCGTTTTTGAGTAAATGTCCAACATGTTGACGACGGACAGACAGACGGACGGACAGACGGACAACGGTATACCATAATACATCCCATAAACGGGCGTATAATAAGGCATTTATATATATAGACACATATCTTATTCTTGAATCTGCTAAAAACAGTACAAATTGTGCTTCTGTTGTATAAAATGTAAATCAATGTGATCAAAATCACGTGTGGAAAGTTTTCATGGTAGACCTTAACTTTGCTTGTAATGGTATTTAAAGTACATTTTCCAACTTAATGAAATACAACATGATGATCTACATATCATTTGATTCAAGGAAAACAAAAAATAGTATCCAAGATCTGTCCGAGTATCAAATCTCTGTAAACTCCTATAAGGTGATGAACTTAATGCAACTGTCATATAAATATTACTGCATTTTAGCACTTACATGTAAGAACCAATTCTATTATCACATTGTCCACCATTTTGACATAGCCCTGGATTCTCTGCACATTCATCTACATCAGACATGCATGTTGGTCCTGTGTATCCCTGAGTACAGCTGCACAAGTAGCCATCCTCCATAGAGTGACATGTTCCATCATTTCTACATGGCTGCTTTTCACAATAATCAATATATTCACAATTTTTTCCTAAAATATAGTAATCTTGTTAATTTTTTGTAAGGTTGATACTCACCACATAAAAAAAAATTAACATTTTATGTCTTGCTTACATATATATCGTATATTCACATGTTAAAATGAAGAATTAATCAATATCATTTTTTTTTCCTAATTTTTGTTTGGTTAAATTTGTTTATTGTATTTGTTTATTGTCTATCTTCATTGTTTTCTACAAAACACCAAAAATCACAAAAACAATAATTTTATTACAAATGAGGTAAAGGAGATAACTCAATTACTAAATTACAACCTGTTAAACCAATTTTGATTATCTCCCTTAAATAAACCAGAACTAGAGGAAGAAAGACAACTCTAATTGACTTGAAATCCTATTACCTGTATATCCACTTGTACATGTACACATATAATCAGCTAAAGAATGAGTATTTTGACATGTTCCCTGATGTTTACATGGATTGTTATAACATATACTGCCAGGAACTACAAATTCACAAAGGGTTCCATTGAATCCTGAAATCACATACAATTAACTTTCATTGTAAACAATATTAAACAAAAAGTTTCAAGGTTAGATTAAGTCAAACATAAAACAATTAGTATGTTTAAACACAGGACATGAATAAAATATTGTTTTTCCCTTTTTTTGGGGAGTTGCTTTTATGAATTTACAGAATTTGTCTCCATTTTTTTAATCTTTATTGTACATTTCATACTAAATCAAGCCACCATGTGGTTATAATTATTGTGTTGTTCCTTATCTTCATATCAAAACATTTAACATCCATGTCTATATATATCAGATGAATGAATGTACTTAATAATAGCTCTAACTAATATCATTTGTCAGACAAAGACATGTTTTCCCCAGTTGAATTTATGCACAGTTGGATTAAATTAGTCACTGATACAAAAGTCAACTTGATTGTGTATGAAGGTGCTGCACAAAGCCAGTTCTGTGTCCATTGGGAAGGCTTTCAAACATTTAAGTTGATATACCGTTTCCACATTTTTTGCTAGTAATTTTGGACTTAAAATAACATGCTGTATAAAGTGATTTCAAAATTACCTTGGAGTTAAATTCAAATTCTTTATTAACTTTGAGCCTTACGGCTCATCAGTATAATCAAATACATGTGGAATATTACAAACAATATTAACAATATGCATAATTAACAATAGGTGACGTCAGAAGTTTCATCAATACAAAATATCTTTTATTACAATAAACTGTTTCTTAATTTAAAAGAGAAATGTATATACTTTCCAAAGTTACAAAGCTGTTTTGTGTTTTCACAGGACAATAATTCTATTAACTTAAAATTTGATGACCTAGACCAGTTATATATTTTTATATATTTTTTTCGCAAATCAGTATATCTACTACATTGAAGGATGAAATGAAATTCATCCTCTATTACTCCTAAATCACAAAAAATACAATTTCTTTCATTTCTATTAGTACCAACATAATGTCCAGTTTCAATACAAAGGTTATGTGAAGACAAACGAATCCTTGTTAATTGCATTCACTTTTTCATTTTCTAATTGCCTGTATATGTTAGTATAGATTTAGAGTAAGAACCTTTCCTTATGATAAGTGTCTATAAATTTAGTTCTTAAAAATAAATATCAAATATTCTGGCAAGATCAGAAGCAAAATATCGAATGCCGACTTAATTTTCTGACCATGAAATAGGAACCATATATATTCTACTATGGTTTACTAATTACAAACACCACAAATAAAAGCAATGAAGACTTGCAAAGACAGTTTTTATGTAAAAAAGGGAATAAATGTTTTTGAGACTTAGTTTTATAAATTTTCTGTTACAGTTGTTGAAAAGTGTTTCATGTTTACAAAACACATTTTTCATGTGTAATATGCAAGCTCACATTTTTGCCAGGGTCCTTGAATGGAAATTATAAATTCATGCAATCATTATCAAATTTACAGTGTTCCCTATATGTATACCGATAATAATTTAATTAACCATGACAGAATTTTGTCCCTTTTCTTGTAATAATCTTCAATTATTTTTTACTTTCTATTGTCCAGTGTTTGTTGGAACCACAAAATTTGCTCTTGTTGATTATTTGTGTTTCCCAAGAGGTCTAATGGCACTGTGAACATTTGCAAAATGTCGCTGTAGTCAGCTACTGTGCTTTCTTTATATATATAATAAAATTGAGAATGGAAATGGGGAATGTGTCAAAGAGACAACAACCCAACCATAGAGCAGACAACAGCCGAAGGCCACCAATGGGTCTTCAATGCAGCAAGAAACTCCCGCACTCGAAGGGTATACTCTTCATCATAATATTTAAAAGTTCATAGTTAATGGTCTTTTTTACAAGGAATGGCATTGTCTGTGGAGTACAGTAACATATTTTTTTCTGTTCTTTTTTTGTGAATACATGTTTTTTCAGTGCTTATAAATTATCATGCTTTACTGTGTTTATTAGTTATATTTTTCTGTTATTATTTAATACACTCCTTTGTGATAGTCAAACGTCTAGCTTTTCTGTGCCAAGTAATTTTTATATTTTAAGCCTGATGATCTTTATACCATATAATTTGCTCCCAACAATACCTACCTAATTTACAATCACATCTTGCCTTGATTCCCCCAGCTTGTATTACAGTACAGGTTCCATCATTCATACAAAGATCAAGATTTGGACCACAAGGATTATCAAACTCACAGTAGGTACCTATATAACTTTGGGGACACCTGTAAAATATACAAATATTTTTGTTTGCATGAATAAAACAAAATGTGAGTTACATTTGAGTATGACTGCAACACAAGGGTATACAAGCACATACATACAAAAAAACACAAAACATTCCAGAGGTCAACATATGGTCAACCTGTGTCTCTTTATCATTTGTATTACTATGCTCTCCACCTATTGCAGTTCATTCAAATTCTCGCAAATTGCAATTTGTTTTGTCAGAATCTTAACCAACTGCTGTAAAATAAAAGAAGAATGTGTCTGGGGACACGAATGCCCCCGCTCAAGCTTTGCAAATTTCAAAGTTTAAAAGGAGCATACCTCTAGAACGGTAACTCAATGCCCTAATTCGAACTCTGTCTGTGTTTTGTATTTCTAAGCAATGTGTATGAGTTTCATAAAATTTGGGTGAGGCAAACTAAAGTTAGAGTAAAAAAAAATTGCAATTTTTCAATTTATAAAGGGCATAACTCTAGAGCTGTAAGTGAATTGCTTCCCAAATTAGAACTCTGTCTTCAAGTTTTGGTTCTTAGCATTGTGTATGAGTTTCATAAAAATTGCATGAGGCAAATTTAAGTTTAGAGTGCAGAAATGAAAATGGGACGGAAGGAAAGACAGACGGTCAAGGGTAACACTTAATGCCCCCGTTGCCTACGGGGGGCCATAAAAAACTCAGTCAAGGTGATCAGATAAACCATATTTATAATCCTCTAAGACTTTAATTCCACTAAATTGCTATTATGAAACTTACTTCTAATAGGTGGAGAGCAACACTTACAGTCAAGTCACAGTAATAACATTAATACATAAACCTTGACAAAAAGATGGATCCCAGAGTTACAAAAACACTGTTTTTATCTTATGTTTTGGCGACTACGGTTTTTGGCAATCAACACAAACTTACAATTCAGTTTTGGTTATTATCATTTGTTATCTCATTTGAAAATAAGGGAGATGTGGTATTACTGCCAATAAGACAACTATCAACCAACATTCTTTGTCATATTTTCGTTTAATAAAATTTAACATATAAGAAATCAGTGTATACGCCTATCCTTTTTGTTGATATCAGTCTAGTATTTCCATACTTATGGGATTTGTTTAGAACAGAAAGTGGTCTGTTGTTAAAATTTGTGAACATGTTATATTCTAACTAAAAGGATGCTACACAGTAAATACAAACATTTATTATGATAAGGTATTTGTAATTTCTATGACCTGTTCCTTCTAGAGTTATCAGACTTTATTTTTTTGGTTAATTTAGGCATTTTCAAGATTACTGTAGATGGTCATTCTCTTATTCATGCATCTTGCAGGTGTTTCATTATCATTTATAAATATAGATGATTCTTCCATCACAAGTTCAATTAAAGGCAGTGTCAACTAGAAACTTTTTAATTCGCAAAAATAGAGCTTGAACAATCTTGAAACAGCATTTTTGGAAAGTGACTCACCAAGAGGTATTTCTTTATGTTCTTTATATATATACTTTTCTAAATAAATATAATTAATAAAACATTTGTACCCAATCACATGGGATAGAAACAAAGTTTTGTGGCTTCCTAAGTCAGTTAATCTCTAAGGACTAAGATCCTTGCCCTAAGTATCAACTAAATGGGTCTTCTTAATCCTTTAACTTTAAACCCCTTATCTAAAATCACGTGTACAGCAATTACGTAATAAAATGACAATTTTGTCTCTTATGGTGTATTAATAAGTTACAATGAAAATAGGAGATTCCTTTTCTAAAAGGTGTGTGCGTTTCTTCTCCCTTCAATCTGTCCATATGGAAATTGTTCTGAGAGGGTATTAACAATTATCAATTACTTCTATTTATAGATATTGAGAGACATCCATTCCCACTAGGTTGAAATTTTTTTTACAATAAATTAGTCAACTACATTTGTAGTACAAATGTTATATACTATTATCAAACAGATAGTAATGCTACCGATATATTGCTTAATTGCTATTTACTTTATATAATAATATTTATAACAATATCACTGTGTTGTGTAATAAACAAGTTGTGTGATATACAAATTGCAATATTCCCCAGTGTAATAAACACTGTTTATTGTAGATTAATGGGTCACCCCCCTCTAACTGTCATCCAGAATACTGTTATAAGTATGTTTATGGCATAATTAATCTATATTAGGCATTATTAAGTTCTACTGATATTTACTCAGCTCTGTAAAAATATAGCATAAATCTGAATATATCTCATGGACAAAGAAGAAAATTGAAGGGAAAAGTGGGGTAGTATGATTATTATACTCTCCTCTCTTAATTGATAATTTTATTTTTGTTATATGAAATTGATGTTCAATCCAGTATAAAATAATAAGAAACAGATACTAAACACAGACATGACAAAACTAAATGCAAAATTTAAAATACAGTGGTAGAATAAAGTTTTGTTACTATTAGAGGAAAACTAAACTGATCAAGCTATAAGATGGCAGTCACTATATTCAGACCCTGGCCAAATAACTGAATAACAAGAAATGAGCTGTCAAATTGGCAGCAAACAGGGTTTTCTGTATTTTGAAGGCGTTTGACCTACCACCTTCTGTGCCTATTTTCAAATCACTCAAAGACCATAACTTCTGTATGACAAAGATATTTTGTCATCAGCTTATCTTATCTCTGTCTCTATTGTGCTATTTGAACATTCACTGCTTTTCAGTCACATTTTCTCTTTTCATTAGCATCTTAAAGAAACTTGCATTTATAAGCCCATTAAACTAATTGTAAAGAAAGAGTTCAATTTTTCCAATTATATAGATATTATAAAGTTAAGTAAGTTAATATTACTTCCATGATAATATACAGTTCATATTGTTTCAAAATGTTTGCTGTAATGGATTATTTCCTTAATATGTCCCAAAGAAGACATGTATTGTTGTCATTCATTAAGCAAGCATGCTTAATGTCCAGCTGCCAATATTTCACAAATATTTAGGATGAGAAAATATTAAACAATAAATAATAAATCAAGTAAGTAGCTTCTGAAAAGTCAATGAAGAGGTAAATTTTGCAGAAATATTGTCTTGCAAATGCTTACTATGGACCCAAAGTGATATTGCAAAGGTTCAATACTATAAAGAGAGTGTGGCATCTGCCAACAAAGAGCATCAGAATTTACTGTTCCCATTCAAACTGGACAAGCTTTGTATGAAAATAACCTGTTAGTGTACAGATCCAGTTCAACAGACATACCCCCAAAATGCCTCCTCACTGCTGGATTGGAGTTCAGATAACCATACATCTATGTACTACTCTCCCTTGTGGTGCATTAAGGTCTTTAATATCTTATGACAATTTATTTTCGAATAGATCTCGTCATTTAAATGTGACTAATATACATGTTATTGTATATATTTTGCATAAGATTGCATCCTTAAAATATTTTTCAGCATCCTCACAAGGATTGTAATACCTTGAGAGTATAGCTTCATCTCCTTTGCTCATACTATTATAGTTAACCTGATGCCAAGCAAGCTAATTCATACGTATTTGTTATCAAAACTCAAAATAAGTATAATAGGAAAAATTTCTCAATCCTGGTACAAAAATAACATTTGACATCATCCAATAACCATTCTACAAGATGAAAACAGCTCTTACAATAATACTTTTCATACTGAAACAATTCAGCAGCACTGTGAGCACAATGTCAAAATTCTGTACAACATTTATAAGATTTGAAAACTCTGAACAATTTTTATTGGTTTTAAAATGATGATTTGAAAACTCTGAACAATTTTTATTGGTTTTAAAATGATGATTTGAAAACTCTGAACAATTTTTATTGGTTTTAAAATGATGATTTAAGTATCTATGAAACAAGAAGGGAAATAAATAGCAAAGAAGCTGACACTTCAGTTTAAGCAAACTACTACAAAAACTGTTTGCACAAAATAAACACTTCACAGCTCTTCTGGAAAAACAATTAAACAACAAAATTTCTGGTAAACCAAAGTCAGTCAATGATTTTCTCTTTAGCATATTTTAATTATTTATTTATCCTGAAAACTAACAAATCATAAACATGGATTTTAAAGAAATTTCAAAACCTTTAATTTTTGCATAATGTTTTTTTCTTCACCAAATAGTATTAAAATCTAATAATTAAATTGTAAAATAATGAAAAATTGGAATATATTTGCATCAGGATTTCTATCTTTGACTTAACTTAAAAACAGTTTAAAGTTATACACTGTGATTTGTAAACAGACAAGAAGCAGACAATTTACAAGAAAAACAGTCCAAACATGGCCATTAAACTGGGTGGATTCTGTGCAAATATCTGTATGTCCTAGAGATGAAAAAGTTTGTAGGGGAAATTTGTTTCCAAGGTTGCCAATATCTTCTATATGTATACAAAAATGGTCTTTAAAAGCCTCTCTCATAAAAGGTCAGGTGATAAGCAATATTTTTCAATGACTGAAAATCTTTATGTTGACAGCAAATGGTTAAGATGTTTGTTGTATACAATACATGAATGAAGTCATCAAGGGAAAACTACAAATACAATTTTACAGATCATTTGGCAATAACTAACAAGTGAAAAGAAGTAAAATTTTCAACATTTTGAAGATCTCTATTTCATAAACTTTATCAAAAATCTTAACAGATGGCCAGTAACAGTTAACTGTCTGTTTAAATTGGTTTGTAGATAAATGTTAGTTTATTTTTCAGGTAAAATAAAGGTGTTATCAGGTAAAATTCCTTTAATCATCTTAATTACCTGCTCCTGCTCAATTCAAATGTCAACAGAGATTACAAATACAAATTTATTTTAACATAAGTATTCTAATTTAATTGTTAAAGCTTTCTTTATTTGATTAACACCTGCCTGTCTATGTATGTTTTGTCTAATCAGAACCAGTCATTGTTATTATTAAATGCTACAGGTACAGTTAAGTACTACAAGTCTTTCTAAGGGTCAAGTAATTTCTTCAGATGTCAGGACAAAGAAAAACCCGCC